CACACACACACACACACACACACACACACACACACACAAAGACCCCAACCCCACAAATAGTTAACGTTTTTGTAGAGACAATATAAATGTGTAGCACTTTTACACCCAGTTTAGCTAGACCAAGTCAATAATAAGTGTGGGACCTGTTAGACAAACATTGTGAGTGAGAGGTCAGGTCAGTTAATTCGAGGGGAAAATAGCAGGGAGTCAGATGTCCCTCAGCAGTACCACACACACAAACACACCCCTAAATGTTAAACCCTCTCTGGGTTTGTCTTCCTCCACTATCATACACTGACAGGCGTCATCAGTTCATCCTGGTCACTGAAGATCTCCACCAGCTGCAAATACTATTAACGAAGTTTCCCCAACACAAACAAACTAGGAACTTATCTATTATAAGTCTTGATTTGACTAAACACCTGTCCAACAATCACATTTATACAACACATTAGCAGTTTGGTAACATATGCATTCCAAAATAACATGCCAGAGCATTTCGATTGTTATTTTTAGTCTAACACGAATTAATTCCAACTGAATTCACTTTGTATAACTGGTCAGTGATATACCAGAGACAGAGGCTAAAGCAGATAGCAGAACCTTCTGGAAGTGTGACGTAAGTTTGCGCTCCTATCTATGCAGCATGTAGAAAATAAATAAAACACACACATACTTGGCTGTGAGTGTCTGGCTGGTATTCTGTGAGCTGAAGTTTCGACCATCTGTTTAAGTCATTAGTGAAGCTGGGCTATGAGAAGATGAAGACTCTCTCAGAACTCTCCGTCTTTAGTTCCTTCTGCATTTCTGCAAACTTGATTCATGCAAGTGTCACACACTCAAAAATATAGTTTTCTAATTCAATAGGCCCTTGCTAAAAATCTTCAAATGTTACTACCTTAGCAACTGTTGCTGTTATTTATTTATTTTTTTCAAATGTATAATTCTCATTTTACAGACAAGCCAAAAATATGGTAAACAATGTAGTTTTAATTACAATTATAGCATTCAACTTGTTTTAATCTAAAACATCAAATTTAAATTCTGCGGAATATTAAAAAAATATTAAAATGTACGCAATATATTTCATTTTAATGAGAAACTCTTATTATAATAATTCATTATAATTATACATAATTGTATTATATTATTTTATTTAATAAATGTAATAATGGTTTTAATTAATACAATTTGTTTTTCACACATTTAGACAATGATCAACTAATCAACAGTTACAAATGCTATAAAAATGCTTTATTATTATTTTATTTAATAAATAATTTAATAATGTTGTATTTAATTATTACAATTTATTTCCCACACCTTTAGATAATGATCTACTAATTAACTTTAGGTTTTAATTAACCTTTATTTTATTATTATTAATAATATTTAGTATTATTATTTTATTGACTTAATAATTTAATAATGATTTTAAATCGTAATACCTCATAATACAAATCATATATATACACTTTATATATATATATATATATATATATATATATATATATAGTATCACACATGAAGTCACTGACACTTAATATTTGTCAGCACAGTCAAACCTTTGAAGGAAGTCAGATACAAATGTGAATCTGTGCAATGAAAATGTTGAAAGGATCTGTGTGTGTGTTTTATGCGGGTCTGTGCATGTTGAAGGGTGTGTGGGTGAGAGTGTTCTGTGAAAGGTGTAACACGGCTCTACTGAGCATGTGCGAGAGATATTAGTACTGTACGCTCACTGACCTGCCGAGATGAAAAGCAAAAGAGGTGGCAGGAGGGGAAAGAATGAGGAGACAATCAAGTTGAAGGATAAAAGAAAGATGTGTTTATGGGAGGTGGGTGATATGGGGCGAGCCGTGTGTGTCAGGGCTACCGGAGTCGAGTTACACTCACCCCATCTAACCCCACTCACCCCATCCGTAACCTCCTGCAGTACAGCAGCACAGGGGCTCAGGTCACATGACACACACATGTAAGGACATGATTCATTTAACTAAGGAGCCATTCAGTGCGAGAAAATGTTAGATCTAGAGCATAGTGAGATCTGGAGCAATGGAGTTCTTAACCAAACATTTAACTATTACGGTTTTATCTTTTATCTGTCATTTTGTACTTCCCTGTACTTATGAGTAACTGACTAGGCTTACATTTCACTGCAAGTTGTATTTTGTATATAACTGTGTATGTAACAAATACAAATCTTGAATTTTGAATTACATTTATTTAACCCCAAATTATAGATTTTGACCAAATAAAATCTTCCTTATATAGTTGCAAACACTGATAGAGAATGTAAAACAATGATGAAACCCATTGTACCCCAAAAGTATTTGGATTCTTTTAATATTAATATGAATAATGCATTATTTTGTTGCATAATGCAAATGCATTTTTAAAGAATCAAGAATCAACTTTATTTATTGACTTGGATTATCTATTTACTTTATTTAGTTTAAACTCAATCATTGATTTTTGTCGCTTTTTATAAGCTGCTGACTGGACTGAGCCATACAGAATTTTGTTACAATTATCTAATCTAATTTTCTTTAAAACTGATCCTTTTTTTTTAAATGTCAAATTATTCTGGCCTTGCTTGCATATACACAATAGCAAAAGAAAGAAAGAGCATTATAAAAAAATCCACTATAAAACTACACTTTCAATTTCCAGTGAATATAGCTCTGTCTGGCAAGTTCATGAAGCACCTATCATAAGTGCTAATATTCCTTTTCATGTTTTTTTGCATGTGCTGTTTGTAGTTTTT